GGGGGGGGGTGGGAACGGGGGGGGGGGCACCCCCCCCCCCCAAGTTTTGCCAAGTGCCCTTTTTTTTGCGTTAAAAATGTTTTAAGGATTGCCTTTTTTTGCCCAAAGCGCACTTTTTGAAACTTGAATTTATGTTATTTTCCGAAATATTTTTTTCATTTCCGGAAAAAAATATGATGTCAATTACGAAAAAATTTTTGGTATTTCCGGAAATTTTTTTTCATATTTAGGAAAATTGGATATATCCGGAAAAATTTTTTTTGGTATATCCGGAAAATTTTTGAGACCTCCCCCCCATCGCCAACATTTCCGGGAAAAAATTTTAGATGCTCTTTTTTATTCGGAAAGTGCCCCTCAAAGCCTGCCCCCCCAACTTTTAGAAGCTTCCTACTCCCCTGGACGAATGTTTTGATTGTTGCGAGGTGCCTACATAATGTGGCGGCGTTTATACTAGAATGTTGTTAAAAGTTAACTAACTCTCGAGTAATGATACGGTAATTGGGGGCTTGAGTGGTTTCATAAGTGGGTGCAGAGGAGAGATACCTCATTCAGGCATTTTCTGAACTGCCACCACGTCATGTAGCCTCCTCGCAACAATCGAAACATTCGTCCCCCGGAAGATCCAAGCCAATCTGGTCATTTTGAATGTTTTCACAAGGGTGACGAGCAGAGGCTAGAAACATGGTAGCAGGATAGGCTGATATCAAAAGCGGCCACAAGAAGTCAGACTGCAATAAGTACACAATAAAATTATACTAGAATACTTTATAGTAGTCGTAGTATAAGGATTAATGCCCAGCATAACGTATGCAAAAGAGCCATATAGACAATAATATACACATAAAATTTATTTAGAAGTACTAAAGACGAAACGTTAGTACTTCTAAATAAATTTTATGTGTATATTATTGTCTATATGGCTCTTTTGCGTACGTTATGCTGGGCATTAATCGTTATACTATGATTACGATTCCCGCCTGCATGGTTCATCACTTGCAAGTACTTTATAGTAGTGTAATTTTCAGTTTGCATCATCAACCTGCAAAATTCCGAACCTGCAAAATTCCAACCTGCAACCTGCAACCTGCATTTTGTACCTGCCGAGGACAGAACACAATAAAACTCCAATGCAACTATGGATTTCTGGACTTAGTGAAGCATGGGGTTCCTTCCGTGCAGAAGATTTATATTTGCAGGTAGAATTACAATCTTTTGACTTTGGTGAAACTTTGGTTTGCAGGCACAGGATAACATTCACCCAACCCATTAATTGGCAGTACTCTTTCACTGATTGCCTGGCATTACACAGTCATGCAAGCCAGTATCTTTCTTCACATACTAAAATACTAAAGTAGGTGCACCAGCAGTCAATTTTTGTTATGGGATATCATGCTAAACACTCACATCATTGCGATGTTGTAGGGAGACTTCACAAACTATGGTATTGATTGGGAAGGTCCTATTCCAGAAATGACTGCTGATGTGGTTGAAGTTCCAGTAACCAATTGTCCTTTATCAGAAGTCCAAGCAAATATGTTACCAACAGTAACCAATCTAAGTTATCCTGAAGCAGTGCAAGTATTTAATGACATTGTCAACTTGTTACCAAACAATTAATTTATAATTTTGCAGCTGTTTACATTTGAATTACAGCACCAGTACTATACACATGGATAGCTTAATATCATTTTTGCCTACAACAAATTTTTGCCAGAAAACATGACTGGGCACACAATTACAGTATCCGTAAACTCTTCCTCATTCCCTAAATGTATTGAAGATCGACGTTGCCTTTGAAAATGCACATCCAACCAACGCGAACTCGAATTCTCTAATACAGTATAAATAGTTGACGCACAAATATGAAATTTTCTAGTCCATCTAATGCGACTTCTTGCATATTCGGGTGCGATTTTGTGGAATTTCGACATTCCTCATGAACAACCGATATTGTTTATCCAGTGATTGTAATGTAGGCATTGTAATAATACAGTACAGTAAAGAGTGCATCTGCTTGTGTAATTATATTTTGCTCAAATATTCTCTCATGCTATTTCGTATGCTATTGTCACATGTACGAAGTGCGTTTCGATTTTTCAAAAAGGACTTACGCAAAAATGTTAGTAAGCTATTGTAGTATTGATAATAATATGTAGTTGCTTTTTTCACACTTGAAATGAGCATGGCTATCGACCTTTAACTGTAACAGCGTATTTAACAAACAATGGTAACTAACTAAAGAAACAACTGATATTCATGCAATCTTGTAACCCTGATGCAATCTCGTGCGAGATTGTGTCTCTGTCAGGACCCTGACATATATTACATGGTATGTTGTTTGTGGTGATTTACCACTAAACAGTAGAACAAAAGTACCAGATAGCTTTCTGTAACGAGATGAAAAACACATATATGTACATTTTAGCATGGATAGTTAAAAGTTTTTTTATATTATTCATGGTTTTAGGAACGCTATTTTCACATGAACTATTGCAACGGAGAGATGCTGTTTCGCTCAGCTTCTAAAAGTTGTACATTCTGTATCGGATATGTGCTTTTTCGCGCCGCTACGGAAAAGGTATCTGGTATAATGGAAACGTAGCCTAATATATAAAAATGTTAGATATAATGTCATTATACTGTAATGTTAAACTCAACATGAATCCTTCGGACTGTTTGTACAGAACCTCAAGTGAAAGTGAAACCATTGCAACCATAAAGTAATGCTATGTCCATGTTTTTCTTGAAATCTTCATACACGGTGTGCTTTTCAGGCAGTATTATCTTTTTGAAACAGGTCTCCAACGTCAAAGGTAACACATTCACCCCACCATCAAATGTAACAGAAAGACTATCTTGTTCTTGACGGATTGTGCTGCATCCAGTCCAGAATGAGAGGAGATCAACCATTTGTCCACAATCTAAAACAATTCACCTTACTGTTAAGTCTGGAATGCAAGGTGTACGAAATTAACAATTAATTTCCTATCAAGGTGTTTGCTTACCAGCTGTCCTTTGGTCCATTTCATTTATATACTTAAGAAAGAAGTCAGCAGTTCTGTTTGTGTTTTCGTTTGAATCTCTCCCTTCAAAGTTGACTTGAGGTATGACGTCAGAAGCTGGAACATATCTCGCAGCCTCCAAAGGAAATACGACGGCTGTCAATATATGGTTCTGTTTTAGGAAAGTAGTCAGTGATACAACGTCCATACCTAGAGTTTAGGGAAAAAGTCCAATAATTAAAAAAATATAATAGAATAAATGTTAACGAAAATAAAATAAAATCAGAACACCAGGCTCATCTGTGTTTGAATAAGCAAATGGTTACCAGTTGCTAAGTCATCAAGTTCTAAATGCCTTTTATCCAATACTTGATAAACCATCAATCCATGAACAATCACTTTTGGCTGCTTGGCAAGGTTATCAGGGTCCAGGCCAGCTTCGTACATGTATGGTTCAAGTTCACATCTTAACTCTGTTGGAGGATTATTGTTATTTGGTAATTGTTCCAGCTGAATAAGAAAAGTGTTTCGAGAATGATGTATTGCTGTAATAGGCATATACTGTAAGCATTGTACTAGCCTTTAGTATTGTAGATGGATGTAATAAATCTATATAAATGACCGTATAATCCCATGCACAGTATATTGGCATATAAGATGTCAAAGTTTTTGTGAGAACAGTATGAATTTTGCAAAGGTAAATTCCTCATTGTGGAAGATTTGTAAGAAATATAAGGGAAGCAGCTTCCATATAAACACAATATATTTAACAATTATTCGCCGAAGGCGAGGTGATTATCGGTGAATAAAAACCGAGACGAAGTCGAGGTTTTTATTCACTATAATCACCGAGCCTGAGGTGAATAATTGTTTTAGTATAATTTCATAGGTGATTATTTGGAAAAAATAAGAAAATACACATTTCTTTGTCATTTAATTGACAAAACGGCTTCGGCCGCCATTTTGAAAATCGCTTAGGTGATTATCGCGTAATAATCACCTCAACAGCAACCAATCAGCGTGGAGAATTTTCAATAATCACCTATGTAATTATACTAAATATATATATACACACAAGCAAAACATTGACGTTTTGAGCGAAGGCCCTTCGTCGGGAAGTTGATAGAGTGGGTAGTATAGTGCCAAGTGAGGCGCATTTCTTTTCTTTTTGTGGCTAGAATACGGTACCTCTGTTATAAGGGTCCTTAGATCCACATCAGGAACATCTAATAGTGTAATATGCAATTCATCTTCGATGTTTTCTTCTTTGCTGGATGTGATGTAATGCTTTGCCGCTGGTGACAATCCACATAAACCAGGATCTCCATGCAAGACTGAGTGGCCGATAATTCTCCCAAGAGCTTTGAATGCACCAGTGAGGCGGAGTGTTTGGTCATGCACAGGAAGTAAGTGGTCTTTCTCACCTTCTAAAAAGACAAGAGGTTTGGATGTGGAAGATGGTATCCCTTCTTCTATAATTTTCATAGCATTGGAAAGGAACTCTCTGACAGGCCCAGAACCAACAGCGCCTTCATCTTCAAAACGAACTTTAGGTATTACTTTCAGCTTAGTTTTAGGATTTTTATAAATGCCAAGTATATCTCTCCTCATTTCAGAAACTCCGTCCATTCTGCTAACACACAAACGCTGTGTTGGACTCTCCTCATCTATGTTTTTTTGGACGAACTGCTTTAAAGCATCTCTTGGTGAGGTTGGAGTATGTTCCATATTGTCAAATACAGGTCTTAATAATTGTAGATCATCACCACTTGAATCTTTGTTTGAACCAACAGAGGCAGATGTATCCTCTGTCAATAAATATAAATAAATGACATTTACTGGCAGTACTCTACCACTGACGAGTAGAATCGTCTGGCGTTAGGCAGAGTAAATAATAAAGTAGGGTGCATTGCCAGTTAATGGGTTAATCAAATTACTTCATACCAATCTTGCAGTCTGGCAGCTAGGTATAACAGCTGTTACATTTAAAAGGTTTTCTGGTTCACTTGCGAAAGTTATGGGTTAATAATAGTCACCCAAATGTGAATATTTTCTTCATACTGTACATATTTTTAAAATGAATCAAATGATATTTTAGTTTGAAGACAAGTAAACAGTATAACCTGATAATAGATGTTCAGCAGCTTCGTTAACATCACCAAAAGATGTTGACAAAGCATCATGGATTTCTGCATGAGTGGCACCAGGGCACAAATCTTGTAACAAAACAACGTTCTGCGAAATTTCAGTTGGCTGAATCACTGCAGTACTGGTTGATGGGCTACAATGAATATGACATATTTAAAAGTTTAAAAATTAATATTTTCAAAATATATTTTCTTTCACACATAAATATTTTACTATGCATGCATAATGCGTAGAATTTAGAGTACAAGTACAACAAAACAAAACAATCTTTCCACTTTAGTATTCGACTCTGTCTATTGCCAGTTGATTTTACTCATTAGTGGAACATTGGGTATACTATTATTAAGTGACACTCAATGATCAAATAATAATAAGGATCATAACAAAATCTTGCCAATTTATCAACCTGTTAATTTGCTACTATTATTAATAATACCTGCTAGAATCAGTTATAGGTCTTGCAGCAATGATTTCTTCCAAAGTTGAGGGGGGTAATGGCGGGGTACCGATCCTGAAGCACGAAAAATAATATGCAGCGATCTTGAAGCATGAAAAATAAAAGAAGGAAGTCCTGAAGCACGTAAAATAAATTTATTACGAATCTGATATGTAAAGTGAACATGAAATGTAAGGAACAAATAATGAACAATCATACTTAGAAGTCTTAAAGGTGAATATAAACAGTCTGTACTAGGCGGTGTGTTCACCTATTTGTTTACAATTGCGTCGATGTTCATGATTTATATAAGGAGCGATTGCAGAATACCCGTCCACTTTTGAAGACCTCACCTGTTAGCATGATACGATGATACGAAGTGGAAATGATTACGTAATAACTATATATTTGCGCTATTATAAAAGTCTGGGTAAGCTATATTTTTGGCTGATACGATGATACGAAGTGAAAATGATTACGTAATAACTATATAACTGCGCTATTATAAAAGTCTGGGTAAGCTATATTTTTGGCTGATACAGTGATACGCAGTGAAAATGCTTACGTAATAGGTATATATATAACCGCTCTATTATAAAAGCAAGGGTAAGATATATATTATTGGGTGACAACCAAAAATATATTTGTAAATAATTAGATATGGCCTACGGGTAAGGTTTTCAAAGAACGAGACAAAGAGATATACATGTCTTTCAAAGAACGAGGCACACACATATACTGTATACGTGCTATTTCACTTCATATCATCGTATCACGCAATAATATAGGTTACCCAGGCTTTTATAATAGCGCGGTCATATAGTTATTACGTAATCATTCTCACTTCGTATCATCGTATCATGATAACAAGGGATACCTTCAAAAGTGGACGGGTATTCTGCAATTTTTAGCCCCGTCTTTAAATACAGCTGAAAACGGAGAACGGATATTGAATACACCGCAAGCACGACACACGGCATCCATGTCGGGATCGAAAAACGTTTAATAAAAAGATGACTGAACGAAGAACGAATAATTAAATTACCCCAATACGCAGCACGAAAATACCCCATTACCCCCCTCAAAGTTATCTGCCTCTGTAATTATAAAAATAGGATATATGTACTATTTAAAGCACGCGTAGGAGTGTTTTATCACATATTAAATACGACGCGTAGCAGACATTATATAGTTTTTGAGGTCTTAGGTCTTACATTAGGTCTTAGTTTTCTAGACAACTGTTTACAGTTTGTAGTCAGCAAGTGCTAACTGTGAATACAGTTTATAATTTACAATATGTTGACATACTTTGTTTCCACTGACTTCCTCTGCTGTATTACTACTACTGGAATGCAGTAGCTGATGTGCCCCCATTTGATTCATTCTTACAAAAACTCCACATGTAAAGCATTCAAGAAGAGGAATATCACTTCGGCCCTATAGCAGAAAACATTAATTATAACTGGTTCTTATTGAATAACATCCTTGATAACACATCTATCAACAATACTAATGTAAATAAATTTATGCAATTAAATTCATTGATATCAATCACAAGTGTGGGGGGTGGCTGATATCCATAGGGAATTCCATTTTGTTTGCACCCCTGGCACTACTGTTTTCATTAATGCATCTTTAACCTTTAAAAAGTGTATTGGCTGGCTCCTATATTGGCAATAGACCACAATTTAGGCTAATAGTCCACTTTTTTTCTGCCTCCATACGATAAAGAAGTCTTCAAATTTAGGCCGAGTTTAACAAATAATATAGTCTTGCATGTTTCATATTAAGATCATCCGTCAACAGGTCCAATGTGCATACGTCTTTTTGGCATCCCTTCTAGTGGTAATTCCTTAGGTAGCGGCAACAGCCAGCATGTCAACATTGGGTCGTCTTCAACAGCAGTTTGGTTGTCACAATTAAATAGTGCCGGTTTCCCACGACAAGTTTTGCAACTAAACCAAATTTTTCATTGGCCTTCGTGCAACACCTACATTGTTTGACTGTGTTGGTGTCCCAAAACGGCCCATGGTTAAGCCAAATCAAACAGCTATAGCTTCGAATTCTTTGACCATGCTTCACAGGCCGCCATTGTGGTTCATTAGAGGCCAGCTCATGTTGGCTCCCATGTTTGCAAAACCATAAAACCCCCTCCCTCTTTGCGTCTGTGTGGGGGTTGGGAAACGCATTTGAAGGGGGTCACTGATGCCTCAAATCCCTTCTCCAGTCATGGTGAAGGGTGCTGTTGGAGAGAGTAATTCTTGGCATCATTTATATTAACCCATTAACTGGCAATGCGCCCCAGTACACCCTAGTTATTTTCTTTTCTTGCCAAACGCCAGACGATTTTACTTGTCAATGGGGAAGCTCAGTGGAGCTTAATGGGTAAACCAAGCCGGGATATTGGGATGGCCAGAAGTTTCTCTGCCTATGGAATTAATGGTTCACCAGTTTGCAGGGATTTGTGTGAACCTTCTCCAACAGAGTTACATCCTCCAAATAGAATATATATATATATATATATATGAATTATTAATGAGTTTTTTAAATATATATAAAAATATAATATACCTCAGCGGAATGATCTATTTCCACATTTCTCACTTCAAGATCAATATCTTGTTGAAGAGGTCTAATGTAGATTTTTGCTTGGCCACAAATGTCTTTAAGTCTAGTAGGAGTATGTGGTGGGCTTATGGTGTGAAAACCGCAATCATCACCTACACTTCTTTGAAACAGTGATAAATCAAACCCTCCAGCATTTTCCAGCTTTGGGAATTTTTCCAATAGTAACCTGTAAACAGACTCGCCATTTTGTGTGAATGTAATACTCTTGTCTCCTAATCCAGCATTTGCTAATTCTGTTCGTTCCCTGACTGAAGTTGGTGGGCGCTGGCCATCTTTTGATGCAAGGCACATAAATTTGAGGGTGCAGGTGGGTAGTTTTTTCTTTTTACTTGGCTTGGCAGCTGTATTTGGTGATTGTGATCTTCTACCAAAATTAAAAAGCCTTCTCTGTTCTACAAGAGCAGAAACTGACGGAACACTTTGAGTAACAGCACGTTGGCCTGGTTGCATAGGTGCTCTAGGTGACTGGCATGATGATTGGCCAATAACAGCATTTTGGGATTGATTACTTGGTATAGTGTTACCACTTGTAGATTGATTAGCTAAATAAAAATTACTTACTGTAAATCATTTACATATAAAACAGATTATAAATATTTTTTATAAAGTTAATTACAGACAAAAATTAGTTAAAATACCCATGATAATGTATTGCTAAAGACATTCAGTTGAGTTAAAGGATGTGTTATTATTATATTGCCCACAAGCAGAATAAATTATAAAAAAAGAGCTGGGATAGATACAACTAATTGACACGACAGGGTGTGCTTTTTCGTTATATGGTCATCAAACAGGATGTACCTGTAATTGTTTATCAATCCAGCTATCATCATCAATGAGGACCCACAGTATGGTTATAGTTAGATTTTTTTTAAATACAAGTCCCAAGTCTGAGTCTTAAATTGGCCCCAATATTTTCTTTTTTGTTTGGAAAATGCCCTGCCAAGTCATTATTTGGTTCAGGTATGCACCCCCAGTAAGTTCCCTGATAAAAAGCACTTTATACCCTGCCATAAAAGGCCCCTGAGGTATAATGTAATATAAAGTTTTATACTTTACAATAAGTAACAAGGTTTACCATAGGCACAGAATATTAGACACACATAAGGTCAACTTCCTGGTTTTCCCTATGATTTTCATATGATTTTCGCGTAACTGTAATTCGTCATCAAAATGCTGATTCCATGGGCAGAGTGCGCATTTGAGAGGCATTTACCACCCTGAAAATATTCAAAATGGCGGACATCCAGGGGGGTAATGCCTCTTATAAGTGCACTGGCCAGGCCAATGGAAGCGGTTACGGGAGTCGACCTTCTGCGTGTCTTTATTCTGTGCCATAGGTCTAATGGAAAGGTCTTTTATTTAAAAAAAAAAATCATAAAATTGCTTTAAAGAATATGATTAGATATAGACTGCAGTATAGGATGTGCACACTTTTTTCCATTTGAAAAGCATCATCCTCAAAGCCGTTTCACATGAAAACCAAAAAATATTATCAACTGTCACACGTGACGTAAACTTTGTTTCAATAGGGAAATATATAAACACATTTTAAAATTATTTGTACTTCACTTTATATGTATAACCCTGCCTATGAGCACCCATCTGTATATATTGTCCATTTCAAGATCAACCTGATACATGGATATTTAATTTCATATTAACCATTAGAGTACAAGACTCTCCCTTGACGAATAAACAACTTTACTAAATAGTCGAATACATCAATACAGGGTTTTCAAACAGATTGTATTATATTGACTTACCAGGTGTTGAAGTCGTTTCCAACGACAAAAGTCTATCGGCTGCCTGCATCAAAAATGCTCGCACTTCGTTAACTTCGCTTCTTTCACTTCTTCTCGACATGAATATATATCTGATGCCAAGTGCGAAATATTTTATAAAGTTTCCGACTTGCGATCAGTGCTTGCGATCGATTTCGTGAAAATGCTATGCTAAAAACCGCGCGAACCATCGTTTGAGCCCACGATCACTCATGCCTCGTGGATTGCGGTTGGATGCACAATTGAGAAACTTGAATAAAATGCAAACTTGAATGTAAAATGCGAACTGTCAAACAAAATGAGAACTTATGAATGTAGAATACAAACTTGAATGTCGAATGCAAAAAGTTTAATGAATAAAATGCAAACTTGAATGTAAAATGCTGACAGTCGAATAAAATGAGAACTTATGAATGTAGAATACAAACTTGAATGTCAAATGCAAAAAGTTTAATAAATAAAATGCAAACTTGAATGTAAAATGCGAACAGTCGAATAAAATGAGAACTTATGAATGTAGAATACAAACTTGAATGTCGAATGCAAAAAGTTCAATGAACGAAATGCAAACTTGAATGGAGAATACAAAAAGTACAAAGAAATGAAAAATGTTCAACATAAAATAACAAGGTTGAATTTTGGTGGGCATTTGACGCCATAGAAACATAACTAAATATATTGTATTTATTGTATTTTTATGATTTATGACAAAACTACGCAAATATTTATTGTTTTTATTATAAATCATAAAAGTACAATAAATACAATATGTTTAGTTATGTTTCTGTGGTGGCAAACATATTCGTGAAAATATTCAACCCCCCCCTGTCATGTGTCCACGAGAAGTTTTCGCGAAGATTGCGCGTGACTTTCAAATGATTTGTTTTTTATTTTGAACCTAAATGATATACGGGAGGATTTTTCCTTCCTAATGGGACAAATGCTGCCAATTTTTGGATTGGGACTATTCTACAATGAAGTACTCTTGGATACTGTAATCTAAACACATATGGAAACAAAGAAGTTGCATTTATCAGACAGAGAAGCGGCTAGCCATTAAAATGGCGGCAATTTGGCGGAATATCGAAGGACACAATATCGAAGGTAAAATACACTGCACTGTTACAAAAGTGGATGAAACATTCTTTGAAATCTTCTTCAGCCATTTATGATTATGTAAAAGTACAATAACTGGATGATATTTGCGAGATTCGGCGATAAAAAGCAAACAAGACGGCAAAATATGGCTGAAATCGTGTTTTCGTGGGGGGTAAGTGAAATAAAATGTATTATATTTAAAGAAAACAATGACAATCCTTATGAAATCAACACTATTTATATTAAATTAAGCATAGTTTTTCACCCCATGATAATTTTTTTTAGGAAATAAGAATATTTAATTTCTGCCAGGCATATTAGTTATTTTGTGCATAATCAGCAATTTACCTGGGGTGGTGCATAGTCATTTTCTGGTAAAATATTTTTCCTTCCAATGACCACCCCTAAAAGCAACCGTTCTAAACACTATAAGCACTTCAGAAAGGCTATCGCTTTTCCTGTCCGGAAGTTAGAGCTATGTCGACACTGCCATTTCAGGGCGGGGTCATTTTCAGGACTTTCGTCCCGGATTCAGGTTTTCGCACATATGCCATGTTGACCGCCATGGTCATTATACCTTAAAACAGTTGAGATTACCTGTCCTAAATGAATCGCATACAAACTCATATACAGGTCCTAGACTAATAGTTAGTGGACGTTCAACAATGATTAAAAACTATAGTAAACATGATTAAAAACGTCGCGAGGAAATATTTTTTTAAAAAGACAAAGTAAAATTAAAATATCTTACCTTGGTCTCGACCTTGGTAAACAGTCAAACAAATACAACGTGTGCTATAATTATACTTTGTGCTTTAGGTCTTCGCTTTCTAAGTTAGCAAAGTGTTGCTTGTTTTTTGTAACGGTTCTTCGGCGTTTCGGGACGTTTTTCAACTTTTTCCAAAATTAAATATTGTTTGTATTTTGTCTTTCAAACTCCCGCGCAATCCACACAACCCGCGTGAAAATTCCTCGTGTTTCTATCGAGTTATAGAAACACTTTTTTTTTAGCTTTTGACCAATCAGCGCCTGTGGTTTTAAAAGGCTATTTTATAAATATATATATTTCACACAGTATATTAAAAAGTGTTACATGTAACAGAGTTCAAACCCTCAATTTTCTAGTGACTGTTTAACTACCGTATACATAATAGACGAGTAAGGTTGCAGGCATGTGATCCTGAAAAATTAAAAATGCGTTGAAAGTGCTTTGGATAGATGGTCTGTCCAGACTGTCCTTATCCGGCCACAACAAGAACAAATTTTACCACCCCTAACCCTCCTTATAATAGGTTAAAAAGCAAGCTCATATGCACATCAATTTAAATTATATCCTAAGGGGTGAAAACAAAAACCTATTATATCCTAGGGGGTGGAAAAAAACCCTATTATATCCTATATAGGGGGTGAAAACAAAAAACCTATTATATCCTAGGGGGTGAAAACAAAAAGCCCTCAATAGGTCAAAACATGGTTAAGAAATCCAAGGGGGTTGAAAATTACAAGGCAAGGAAAAATCCAGACGGGTCTTACAGTAGAAAATATCCAAGGGGGTGTGGAACCTTAACCCTCAATAGGGGGGGGGGGTGCGCCAATTAAATGGAATGGCCCATTGTTCACAAATCGCTTGCAGTACGTGCGTATTAGAGAGGTTAAGATACCCCGGTTTCAGTGTACGGGTACGGGTAGCATGATTTTGGTTAGCAATATTTTCGTCGATGTCTGTACCTTTACTCGTAATTAAGGTGCACATTTTTCGCATTATATCATTGTCTATTGCAAGAAAACAGAAAAAGTATGATCGAATTACAGACATCAGTAAAACAAGATGACACTACTTGTACCCGTACACCGAAACCGGGGTATCTTAACCTCTCTAATGACAAATCATTCGCACTACGTTTGTCCTTGTATTTGTAATGCCTTAAATGACGCAATAAGGATAAAAATACCACCGTTCGATTCAGCGTAAGAAATTTTACTTACGGATTTAAAATGTATTACTATATGCACCAGTATTCTAGCGATTTTAATATCGCCTTTGAAAACCAAGCGAAATTGTATTGTTGACTAATCACTCACAGTACGTTTGTCAGTCCTTGTATTTGTAATGCCTAATGGCGCTGATAAGGATAAAAATACCACTGTTCGATTCTATTTACCCGTTTTATAGTATACAAATAATGAATGTTTATATGAGTGCAATGATAAGAATATTTTCATGAAGTGAAAGATGACATGTTCCAGACTAATATTAAAAGGTTTACTGTAAGCTCCCGCCATTTTGACGAGTCGTATTTGCATTAAATCCCATTTACTGAGTTTCGAATATCGGGTTAAAATAAACTGCGATCACCGTACGAGAAGCATTTTGACGGATGCATTTTACGTATAGTACAATTGCACTCGCAAGAGTGCAATGGAACGTATTCCATTGCACTCTTGGGAAATGGAATTTTCTATTCAATATCACGTGACCACAAACAGCCAATTAAACGATCAGAATTTAATAAGGTATTATATAAATGAATTTAATTGTTTATATAATCATACTTGGAATTCGGATGAATATCTTTATCTTCACACTGTATAACAGCAACTTTTTCTCATTAATTTACAGTAACATCATTTTCTAAATTCAGATATTCTCACATGGGACATATACTTTAATGTCGTTGTATTGTTTACAAATTAAAATGTTAAATTGATTTCATAAACTTCAATAAAAATCTTCATAAAATTCCTTTAAAATTCCGTGATAATACAAGTGATTGTCTATAGTAAGGAAATGTTCAAGGAATTTCAGAGGAAATTTTAGAATTTAGATAGAATATTTTGTGAAACTGTTTCAAAATAAAATTGCATTTTAAACTAATAAAGAAATGCAAGAATGTGAAAGAAACAAAATTATATACAGTGAAACTTTAAAGTGGGAAAGAGATAGGGTGGTGAAAATTATACGGTTAGTGTTCTAAAATATTGAAATATATGCTGTACAGGTTTTATATCAGTGCATCGTTAATATTTGTTTATGGGACTAGCATTGCACTATCTCGTGAAAAGGGAATATAGCGTTGAATACAAACTATAAAAACCCATTCATATTTCAATTTTACAAGTAGACAAATTTTAAGCCATCAGATAACTATAATTCTTTATATAGTACCTTGCTATTGTAGGGGTAACCTATAATAAGGCATGACTTCATGTTAGTGTGCTTTATTAATTACTCCACAAGAAATAAGGGGCAAAGGATATTGGTAAACAAGTATTACCAATCAATCCTATTCCCTTTTAATTATAATGGCCACTGGATCAAAGCATCCTATAATAATAATTATTTACTCTCTAACAGCAGATGATCTTACTCATCAAGGGCAATTTTGTACCTTGATGAGTAATACACATACAAAATACTAAACTGTTTCATTACATATTTTATGTCTGAACCTTTGACATTGCAACAAAATAGGTTTGAGTGGGGTAAAAAAATTTTCTGGCATTCCACCGGTGGGGTAGCTAGAAATTTTGTTTCGAAAAAGGTGGGGTAATGATTTTTTCCGGCTTCATTATACTTTCTCTTCGGCCCCCACCCCTGCCATAAACAATGACCGGTCCCTAATGCGTATAATATACCACTTGAGGTTATGACTAAATTTAAAATTTTTATTTTTCGATACGTTTCTCAATCGGCAAACAAACTTAAAAAGTATGTTTAGTGCTTTATCTGTAAAATAATGCTAAATTGAAAACATTTTAGATGATATGCCAAAGAGAAAATTATGTCTGAAGTTCAGTAAGTTTTGCTTATATTGCTTAATTAAGTCTGAAGTCTGAAGTCCGAAGACTGAAGTCCGAAGCGTATAATAAAGATCCATACAGAAAGGCCACTTATGTTGGAAGCTTTATTTTACCTTGGGTGACATTATAATTCTGAAAACCCGCAAACATTTAGATCTTTATGCTTGAAGTGTACCTGCATGT